GCGTGTGTGCGTGAGTAGCTTTGTTTGATGAGGAAGGAAACCTTAACGTAGCTTCGTTAGAGGTCTTACTATCGATAGAGAGAGAGAAGCCTGTGGTAGATGAGAGAGAGAAGCCTGTGGTAGATGGGAGAAAGAAGCTTGTGGTAGATGGGAGAGAGAAGCTAAGATGCGAGAAGGATGCTTCTGCTGCTGTACGTCGCTTCCTTATAAGGCTTCCTCTATCCTTGCTTGAAAGGTTTTCGTTGTTCTTCCTTCTAAGGCTTCCTCTATACTTGCTTGTAAGGTCTCCGTTGTTCTTCCTTCTAAGGCTTCCTCTATCCTTGCTTGTAAGGTTTCCGTTGTTCTTCTTTCGAAGGCTACCTTTATTCTTTATTCTGACGCTTTCTCCATTCTTCCATCTAATGATTAATTAGAGTGTTTCCCGTCTCGACTCAATCCCATTCCTCCGCCTCCCAGAAGAACTCTTCATCCTCTTCAAGAGGATGCTGTGGTCACGGGTCGTCACGGCAACGCACAGGACTCCCGTCAGTACACGCTGCTGCCATCTGGTGCGGGAATATGGCGTGAATTGATCGCGGGCGCGGCTCGGCTGCTGTTGATGGCAGCTGCTTAAACAGGAGACGGGGTTACATTTTCCCGCCCGCCGTTACTGGCAATCTATCAACATTATTGGACTAATAGCGGGTAGGGGTCGTGGAGATAGGAAGAGGGGAGTTGTGTGTGTGTACGTATATTTGACAGCATTCAATCTGTCGCCGCTACGGAAAATTATTAGCGTTCAAAACTTTCGTCGCAACGTTCTCTGTGCAAATACCTGAAGTTAGCTAACCTGCTGCTATTGCTGCTATTGCTGCTACTACAACTACTATCATTGCTTCTAGAGCTGTTGTGACGACGATGGTGACGACGACGCTACTACCTGCAGCGGCGGCGGAGATGATAATAATGGGACGATGACGATACGAAAATTTAACAGATAAACAAAAAAGAACAATTGTTTAACAAGAAAACAATTAAGATGATCATTTTCACTAGCATGATGAT